GTAGCCGTTGGGCTACGCAGTCAATTGCCAAGTCGTGCGGTATAGAAGAAAATAAGGCAACGACGTCAAAAGACAAGAAGCATTCATCAGTGCTTACATTGAGGCCGTCAATCCGGTTGAGGAATTCGTGGGAGCTGTTAATGCTGTAGCGAGATCCCTGATTTAGCGGCTTTAGATGCTTGTACAGCCACTTGGCTAAATTTTAGGTAGGGGATCCGATGAGCGGTACTATAATCCTCAGTGGGGCACCAATTTTGTGAACATTTGGGAGACCGTATGCGTGTGCGACATGGGGATCACTGAGGGTCATAAACTTTGAGTCATCTGGACCTATGACTTTCAGACGAGCAAGCTCATTAACCTTTTTCTTGATGGCTGCGGCTTGCTTTTTCGTTGGGTCTTCGGTGAGAATGGTGTAAGAATCCGTGTCACTGAAGATTATATTCGCCTTGTTGACGTAGTCAGTTTTGTCCATGATGACGGTAGCGCCACCTTTGTCGGCAGGAACAACAACGATGCTGTGGTCCGATTTCAGTGCTCGCAATCCTTGCGCTTCTTCGGCCGGTAGAGTTTGCTGGTGTCTTTTTTGCCGGAGGATACCAGTGGCACAGCTGCGTATGTCCGCGCGCTTGTCTTCAGGCAGGACAGAGGTCAGAAGAATGGATTCGAGACCAGCTAGAAAGTTGGTAGGTGTAGCATCCGTGGGATTAAATCCTATTCTCTTAGACAGGAGGTTGATTTCAGCCGGTAGGAGATTCCTTTTCGAGAGGTTAACAACTCTCGTGGCCATACTTCTTTCATTCATGGGGCGGAGCAGAGACTGGAGTTTCATCTGGAGGTCAGCTCTCTTCTTCAGTCTCGCATCCTTGGCTGTGGCATTGATTCGCTGTTGCACCTCCTCGAGAACATTTTCAGGTAAGGCTGAAGCACACTGATTTTAAGGTCAGCAAGAGTGGTTTCGAATCTGCGAAGTCGATTGTGGACGTCAGATATGATAGCACCCAGAACGCGCCATCCGTATTTGTACGCAAGGCATCTCCCAGTCTCATTCGACAACGTTGGTTTAAAACGAAGAGACTTCGGTAACACGCCATGATCGCGGCAACGGTGGAGGAAGGTCAATTGTTCGAACGTCGTCGCCTGTCTCTGTGCAAATTTCTCCCAACGTCTCGTAAGAATAAGCGTTTGACGCCCAAATATATGTTGTAGAGTAGAAGTGGTAGGCATTCCGAGACGATATAATGAAAAAGGAAGAGGAACATTTATGTCTGGACATGGAAAGGTGCCGAGTTTCAAAACCATTGCCAAGTTCCTAAAGTCTGGAACACGATGTCGCGGCCTACGTCCTTCTTTAGTCCGTGACTATCAAATGTGAATTTGCGAAAAAAGCCTATTATTCTTAATTAGGTCGATTAAGGAATAGGATCGGGCCAAGCATAGGGTTTTAAAAAGCCCCTATCCCTACTCAAGAAGAAATGCAGACAACACTGGAATACAACATCTTGCGTGCAAGTGCCCAGGTAGGAGGGTATCAAATTCCGGTTGTTTCCTTCGATTACACAGGCAAATATCTTCGGTTGAGGAAGTGGACAGACCGCGAATCAAATCCTACATCGAAGCCGAAATAAACTGCGTACGAAACGGAGTTTTTTGTCCACATGTTTTGGGCCTCAGCAAACATAATCAAGCAACGCGTCTCACAGGTGGAGCTGTCGGGCCAAAAATTACCAAACCATGCAGAAAGATCATGTGTGTAGAGAGGTTTCTTACGTGACTCCCTCCATGAGCCCGGATAGGTTTCGCTTCTGACAACGGACTTTAATAAAAGATGCAGTGAGGCGAGTTCCAGGACTTAGTCACGACCGAAGCATGGCGAGAACACGTCTTTGGCCCGCTTCTATGGCCATCCTAAAGTGCACAAAGAAAGTGTCCCCCTCCGGCACATCGTCTCACTCAAAGGTTCTCCAACGTACGGACTGACAATGTGGCTATTTAGGCATATCACATTTCGGACCTCTAATTCTGACACTAAAGTCAGTTCGTCAACATAATTTCTGGAAAAACTGGAAGGGGTAAGCATCCAGCTAAGGGATGGCATGGTATACCTTGACGTCACGTCTCTTTTTACTTCTATTCCGCCGGGCCTGGCAGTCGAGACCACTGAGCCGCTCTTACGAAGCGAATAAATTACAAAGGATAAACGTCTCGGACGTGCCTAAGTCCATCAGCTCCTAAAACTCTGCCTCAGCACGTACTTTACGTTTGATGGAACAATCTACGAGCAGCTGAAAGGAACATCAATGTGTTCGCCGATTTCGGTATTCATCGCTGAGGCGGTCCTACAACGGTTAGAGTCGCTGGTCTTCCAAACTACAGACATAAATTGTAGGCTCGGTATGTGAACGATACCGTCGTCGTCATCGAATGGGATGCGGTGCTAACGTTTAAAGAACGTCTCAGAAGCGTCTTCCCGGGCATACAATTTACGATGGAAGGGGAAGAAAATTACCAGCTGACATTCCGTGACGTCCTCGTCTGTCGCAAAGATTGTGGTGGCCTAAAGTCCAAAGTGTTCAGAAAAGCGACGTGCACGACGCGAACACTGAATTTCAACAGCAACCATCCAATCAGTCACAAACGCTGTTGCGTAAGAAGGTTATATCGGCGTGGGAACGGGAAGACAAGGTTGCCGAATCCCAATATCTTCGAAAGGTCTTCAGAAAACCGAGCTGCTTCTACAAAGCAAATACAATGGAACGGAGAATCGCCATAGACACGCCAAATTCCTTTAACTTTTGCAGTCCTGTCTCAAGACGTACTTTGCGTTCGACGAAACAATCTACGAGCAAATGAGGGATACGCCAAAGGGTTCGCCGATTTCGGGTCTCATAGCCGAGGTGGTCCTGCACTGGGTTGAGTCACTTGCTTCCCGACACCACAAAAGCAAAATTCTAGACTCGGTATGTGGATAGTACCTGCGCCTTCATCGGACTAGGTCAGGTGCTGGAATTTAAAGAACACCCCAAAGCCGTCTTCCCGAACATTCAACTTACGATGCAGAAGGAAGAAAACAACCAGCTGGCCTTTCCTGATGTCCTTGTCTGCCGCAAAGTTTGTGGTGGCCTAAAAACCAAAGCATTCAGGAAAGCGACAAATACGACGCAAATACTAAGCCACAACAGCAATCACCCAAGCAGTCACAAACGCAGATGCGTAAGGGCGCTACACCAGCGGGTGGAGACACTTTAGTGAACCGGAAGACAAGGTTGGTGAAGTAAAGTACCTTCGAGGAGTATTCAAAACCAATGCCTACCCACGCAACTTTGTCAGCCAATGCCTGCGCAAACGAGATGAGAGACAAAGTCCAACCGGCCCCAAATTTTGGCGAGCTCTTGCGTACGTGAAAAACGTTTCGAAAGCCGTCGACCGCCTCCTTGCGCACCTTGGAAGTGAAGTTGCACAAAGACCGGAGGCAATCATAAAGCGCCAGATCATGAAGGTGAAGGACCCATTTCAACAGCAACAAACATCTGGAGTTGTTTGCCGTGTCTGATGCAACTGTAGGCAAAGCAACTATGTCAGAGAAACCGATTGAACGAACACGCGACAGCAGTGAGGAGGAAAGGCGCCAACTCCCAAGTCGCGACACATTCGACGGAACCCCACCACAAATGTAAGTTTTACGAAGCAGAAGTTCTTGTTTTAGGCGACAACCGAGTGAGCCGCTGATTGCTCGAGTCAGTGTCGTCCGGACCTCAATAATTTAATAAGCGCAACGACCTCCTCGCCTTATATTAGACGCTGACTCTTTGTTTAGGAAACTAGCTAGCCACGAGGAGACCGTGGGTATAACTACTGTTACTGGTGTCAAATTCGGTAAGCCAAATTGCCCAAAAGTCCACAAGGATAAAAAAATTCGGCAGTCAGCAACTCGACTGCGTGCGAAGAGCGTGGGAGCCGATAATATTGACTCACGCACAGTTTCATGACAATTAAATAATTCAAAACCTGGCCAGTGGAGCCTTATGGCACTCATAAGCTGTCAACTTTGATAGGTAAGTGGCGGCCTAGCAACCATATTCTTTAAATACTGCAACACCTGGGAATTTTGTCCCACTTATCTGACTCTGCCTCTGATGATTGATTCGATTGAGGAACCAAAACGTCTGGCTAATAAAGCTCTTGGTCCAACGATTGTGTCTCTGTCCATGCAACAGAATTCAATGTCTTGCAAAAAAAGACAGACTTTTATGATGTCAAGAGAAATCCTGGTAAGCACATTCCTAGAAAACGTTTCTCTGGAGAGAGTAAAGTAAGGAAGTCGTAAGTTTGTCTTGTTCGGTACTTGCATATTTTACAGCCGATCGTTTGGGTATTTAGTAATATTTTTTGGACAAAAGACACAATCGGCATTATCAGCAATCATCTTGACAGCGACTATTTGATTTCCAAGTTCATCTTGACGGACGGCAAGCCGCTTTCCTCAAAAAAAAGTCTTACCTGCTTAACCGTGCAGTGGTTTCAGAGGAGAACGGAAGCAACCTTTGTAAGATAAGGAATCTAGAAGAATCTCCGCAGTTTTGGCGAAATATGTCGTCAGCAGTGCAACGAAGGAGGAGACAGCAAACAACTCAAGACAGAACATGGTAAATATTTTCTCCGAAAATAATCAGATGAGTACCTAAAAAGAGACCGGCACAGTCGTGAGACCTTAAGTATGCTAGTAAGTCTTGCCGATGGGTCAGTCAGGTATTATTTAAAAATAGGTTTTAGAAGCTACTTTAGCAAACTTATTGTCATGTTTTGAAACAGTAATATCTTGGTTCGAGTGACAGAGGAGAACGCGGACAGTCTTCAGAGAAGCACAGCTCAAGGATACTTGGTTGTTGAGCAAAACAAATCAACGACCTGACTCCCTAAAAATCGTCGTGATAAGGTCGAAACTTTCCGATTTTGACAAGTGGGTTACAGTGCGTGACCGATCTCGTGAAATGTTGACCGAAATTTTGAAAAGCGTTTTCGATTAAGAAGGATTATTTTCGCGCGTTTGTGATACTAATTATCTTGCGGAATATTCCTATGATATTTTAGACTCGACAGGTTGTCAGCTTTTAAATACACTGCTTTTCAAACTCCTGTAGAAACCGTACTCGGAAAAAATGACTACCAAAGTAGCATGTCTTTTTCATGTTGATTTTCGGTCGTCTTGCAAATCCAAATATATTTTCTAGAAACCACGAATAAAAATATGTTTTTTTCAGTCGTTTGATGGAGAAGCACGTCGTCTTTATATTTTATAGCCGAAGAAGGAGTGTAATTAGGTTTTAAAAAGTTTTTTTAATGGCCGAATAGTTTGAAACCTGATCAGTCGTTGCATTAACGCTTAGTGATTTTAGCCAACAAGGTGCGTGCGCCCCAGGTAATGACGATCACATATTCTCCTATGTCTTAAAAGGGCACCATATGAAGTCCATAAAATTTTGCCATAAATGTGGACTATGTTGTACATTTCATGAGAAGCAGTGGTAACCGGACCGGTACGATGACATATGAATGGACATTACGCGGCCCTTAAAATATCATAGTTAGAAACTGTTTGAACCCTAATTATATCTAAGTAAACTTAATTATACTTGAGTCCTCGAGCAAGAAAGTCAAAAAGTTGACTGTCACACCGAGACCTACAGCTTCTTATGACCCCAAACCCTTCAGGATTAAAATGTGGAAGTCAGTGGTCCTCAGAAGATGTAAGGGTTTAAATAATTTGCAGTGCAAAAATGAGGATTGCAAAACGCCATCAGTGAAATCAGTTGCCTTCTTACGGGAAAAAACAACTAATATGGTGGTCCAAATTTTACTAGCCATTTGCATTGCAAAGATTCAGATTCGAGATAAGAAACAAACCCGTCTGAATTTAAAACGTTCTGTCTGTCGGTATTGCTTGCGAGTAGGCTGATAATTAATTAAAAAATCTATGTAATTTTTCAGGGTTAATGCTATAGCCTCCGAACTCAAGTGTTGGAATAACTGCATTATGATCATTATCAGCAAGTTGACTGAGAAATCACAAGCATGAAAGCGTAGACCTCTCTAAGTGATTAACGCAAACATGCTTGATCGTCGAGAAGGAACATATACAACCTAATTGTTTTGCCCGGCATCAAAGGCCCGAAATTATTTAAGACTGGAAGAGACTTCAGGCGGATTAAAGGCAATAGAAACTACAGTAGATATGGCATCTCTTGAAATTATAATCAAAGCGCTGATATGTGCCTTTGATTAAAACAGCTTGCAGTATTAACTAATGGGCAGCATAATCACAAGATATTTCAATCGCATCAGAATGCCCGCCTTTGCGCGGACATTTTTTTCTGGCCGCCTTCATAAAACAGACTCTGTAGTAATTGAGTGCTATTATGGTATATAATTTTTATGGATTTCCGAAACCTCTACCAATTCTCCTCTATTTTATAGAGAGTGTGCGAAAAAATATTTTTCCTATTCGCAGTTAATAACAATTCATGATTTCTGAAGATAGTATGCTTAAGGAAGGAGCATTTTTTTTCTTCAAAGAGTTTCCATAATGATATTTTGAACACAGTAAAATATTTACCTATAAATCGCTATATCCATACGTCTGTTAATGTTGCTTATGAAGTATATAACATGGTCTACAGCCATTTTAAATCCTACAAACAATATATGACATCTTTTTAACGGAATATGTGGATGGGGGATTTTCCTTACAGGATAAGTCTACATCTTGCAATTTATAAACTATAAATATGAGTACAATATCAAGTCAGGTTAAAAGTAGTTTGGTTATTAAGGCGGCTTTAAAAATTGGAAGATACGCCTCTTTCAGGGACCTGATTTAGAGAAAATGTCATTAGTCCTTAAATGGGCACCAAACATAAATGTTCCGCATGTTTTCTATAAAATATATCCGAATTTATAAGGGCACCGAAAATCGAGTTTAAAAAAAATGTCGTACCATGTATGCCGCCAGTTATTACATAATGGAGCTTTTGCAAGCCCAAATCCTGACGTGACTGAAATATCTTGCTATTATGCTTCGCAGTGGTTAGTTTCGTAACCCTACTTAAATACTCATTTCTAACCAAAAATATCTTTGGGAATTACAGCTAACCGTTTTAAGGGATAGCATAACTACTGCAATTTGTAAATCAACGACAGCGTGAAATTACCCAGAGAGCCAAACATCAGACTCCTTATTGATTCTAGCGGGACGCTAGACGTAACCGTCCGGTAGAGAGTAAATATCTTAGTAGGAACTTGCAATCAATACACATCTCTTACTGCGGCAAGACATGGGCGGAAATCTGACGGCTGACAAAAGTGATCTGAAAAGTCAGTTGGCAATGCAATTACGTGAGTTTCTGACAGGATTAAGATCCAGGGTTAGTCAAACTCCTTGTTCCCACGCCTGCTGCCTGACAGAATTAGCCTGTTGAGGACGGTGGAGCTGGGGTTGGACGGGGAAGGGGGGAAGGGGAGGAGTTCGGGTTAGGTTATGATCACTGTTTGCATGTCAAACACGCGGAGTGCGCGTGACTGTTCTCAGGGCGCCGGGGCGGCGTGTGATCACCAACGTTTGTCTTAGTTTCCCCGACCCCGCCTGCGTCAGTGAGCATTTCGAGCATAAGTGTGGACAGGAAGAGAGGCATGGCTGGGATTAAACAAACGAGGACATTGTCCATGCCGCAGTCACAGGAACGATGTCTGGACATTGAATAAAAATCGGATTCTGAAACAAAGACATGCAATTTAGCAGGAACCGGACATTCTTCGACTGGCATTCGCAGGAAAACGGTCTCAAACATTTTCTGACAAGAAAACTGTCTCATTTAGGTCTAGGAATGAAAGATTCCACAAGGACAAAACCCAAAGGAAGATCGAATACTTGGGAAAAAAACTGGAATTGAAAATCTTCAGTCATTGATGTCTATTTCAAAATGAAATAAATGACTTAAAAATCGATAAAAATTGTCGGGGCCAGCAAACGTGCCCTATACTTTACTACAAAGTAATCCGGGGAAGTCATGCAAGATGTACTTAATATAAGCATTGGGGCGAACGTTAAAGAAGTCAAGGTATTCGGAGTAAAGGAAAAATGGGGAAAGCCATTATAATTAACAGTCCAATGAACTAAGCACTTCGGACACACTCGTCAGCGGAGGTTAGAGGGATTATACGCTAGGTCAAATAAAATTTTCTCTAGCTTTGTTGTAAAACTACACTACGAGGACTACATATGTAAGTCAAGTGAGCAATTAGAGATCATGGATTCCTGTTTCAGCGGAAGGACGTTAATATTAGTTTTATCATCAGGGCAGATGGAGTCGGCAATTAACGGAATCTGCGGAAGACATTGAGAAAACCCATGTTTCCGCCATATGGTTGTTTTATTACTCCAACAAAACACCGGAATTGACCGTTTAGGGCGTGTAAGCTGGCGGAAAACAGAGAAACCATGGTAATTGGTCAAAGAAGGCCGGATTGAGCAAAATGGTATGAGGCGGGCAAACTTAAATCGGACCCTAAACTTAGCTTTAGACCAATATCAGTCCTAAAATTTAGTCGATGTCCTAAGTCTAGACAAAAACGTAACGCAAATATAACATGCCTACCATAACTAAGTAAATAACCTAAAATGACGGAGACATGGGCTTAAATATCCCATCGTAGCCAGCGTAGTTTGAAGATGTCAGATGCAACATCCCTACAGTCATCAAGTTGTAATAACAATAGCATGACGATTTGGCACCAGTTGTGACCAGGGTTTTAAACTTTCAAAACAAGGAGAAGACCAGTTGTGCTGGTGACTGCCGGCTACTGTTATTAGCTTTCAGTCCTGTTTTTTGAGAGCAAAGCACTTCAGTTTACAGATGCCCTCTCGTTAGCAAGAAAACGACGATTCAGCTTAAGAAAGCCAACAATGGACAACAGGGTGTTTAAGTTCCTTCCTAAGAGCAGCATGCCACCCGTAGCTGGGCAGTGTCTGCGTTGAGAGACTAGAAAGAAAACGGTATACTGACCACACACTTCAGTTGTCGACTCTGTGAACCACTCTGGGCGATTTCGACGCACAGTTAAAGCGATTTCTTATTTCCATTTCAACGTTTCCATCGTTGTCTACTAGCGGCTACATAATTTCAAACCATTTAGGCGAAGCAAGGGCTGAATCAATATTTACAGAGTAAAATAAATCAAGAAGCAGAGATTTAAAAGTAAATGAATATAAACGCAAATCAATCTTATAGAGTCACGGGGACGGGACTAAGTTTATATTACTTATGTACCATCAACACCCCGGATAGGCCTTTTATCGGTGAGTTTGCATGCTTACTCCTGGTTTACATAAGAAAGGTGACTGTTTGTATCTTTTCTCGTTGCAGAAAGAAGCTCTTAAAACATAACCCCGATTATATTTGTGCAGAATGTTTGCACAGTTGTGTTAGGAGTATGGCGAGATCAAGGCTGTCTTTCCTCCCAAATTGTCACTGCTTCACAATATTAAAATAGGCAGTGAAGATCAGAGCATGCCCATTGAGTTAGTCAACATTCTTTAAGACTGCAAAATTGATTAACACTAGCCAGAATCATAATCTGACTGATATTCCCCTTCCGATTCCGACGTCTTGGTGAATCATTAAAAACGTGAAAAACTGAGCTTTTTTCATTGAGTTTTGATGTATATTCAAGTAAAATTATATCTTTTAGTTAAGGAAACACTCCGTTCTAAAATTCCGTATTCCAAAATTTTTTTATGCAAAACAGTTGAAAGTAGTTAAGTTGTGGAAGCAGGATCTGCGCAGTTGGCTGCAAGGACACATAGCCGAGGTCTGATACCTTTAAGCGTCGAATTGCAGTCCTATTTTAGTTTGATAAAAATCTTTAAAGCTTTCAAGAACGATTCGTGAGTTTGGTACCTACTTTGTATGCCCTCTATAAATGCAGTAGTCCTGAAACTTCGTGATGCTCGGTTACAATTCCTTTGTCGTGCCTCCTGTTTTAAACAGGTTTCTCTTCTGTCTTGATAGGCGAACTGCCTCATTAAGAGCTTATATCTTTTCTTCGTTCATCGAACGGCCAACGAGCTGAATGTCTGGTGTGATAACACGCACCATGAGAACATTCCTGGCATTCTAGACGGCGTCTATCTGGCAGCAATCTAGGGAAGGTTTCGGTAGACAAGGATTCCAACCTAAAACCTATGATGGCTATCTCAGTCTCCCTGGTCTTCGTCCTTCTATTACACCTGGATGCAAAACTGCATGACAGGGCTGCAGATCGAACTCCAGAGCGCGACGAACGCGCTGGTTCCGTAAACCGATCAGTGTACATATCTCCGTCCTCTTCATCCTCATTCACATTATTAAGTTGTGGCATCTTGACAACATGCTGTCTCTCCCGCGTTACCTTCGCTTCACAAGGGGTAACAGAATTTCCTTAGACCAGACCTCACCAGACCACCTGGCACTACAGTAGGTGGGGTAACTCATGAAATAACAACAGAAATTCCAAAATGTGTTTTCGTTTTGAAAAGATCAACTAAGTAGGGTTGTAAAACTAATCATCGTACAGCATAATTATGTAATATTTCAATTACTTCAGGACGAAGTTCCTTCTGGCTGCATAAAATCTGTGCCCTGTAACAAATGACTGCTTAAGTAGCATGCATTTTTCTCATTCATTTTCGATGTCCCTAAAGTCCAATTATAATTCTTGGAAAATATGCATACAAATATTTCTTCTTTTGCTCCTTCGGTAGATAATTACTTCTTCTTGTAATTTTATATTTGAAGGAGGGATATAATTGGGTTTTAAAAAGTTTTTAATTTTGGGACTTTTAAGTATCTTGAAATGACCCTTCATAAATCGCCATGCCTCTGCATTTACCAATGTAGCTCGTAAATTTAACAATATGGATCAAATCTATTGCTTAATTTTATGAACCCTTATATGGTCTTCTCTTTCTTCTGTAAAGAAATGTATGGTTTTCCGTATGTGGAAATTATACTGCACGTAGTTTTGAAACCCTGAATACAGAGCGGGTTCAAAAGTATTCGGTAATTGAAAAAGTTTCTGAAAACGGAATAATACTATTTCTTCGAGTATAAGATTGGAAGAAGACGTAATTACCTACCGCATGAGCGAAATAACGAATAGTGTTATGCATGTTTTCAGTGAAATATAATTGAACATTTGGGGCAACAAAAATAAATGAAAAAAAAATCATGATGCTTAAGTATTAATTTTTAACAGAGTGTAGTTTTTCATTCAACTGAAAGGAAGTGCATTCGTAGGCCGGCATTCAGCGGTAACTGCAGTATTATAGAATGATTCTGTAGGCTGATAAGTTTTACAACCCTACTTAATTATTCTTTCAAAACAAAAACGGTTTTCGTAGTTTCGGTTGACATATCGCGAGTTAGCGCAACTACTGTACCTTGTGAGACGTGAGTTCTACCAAAACTCACCATTTAATCGTGACTATAATTTGTGGCTTCGAAGGTGTCACACCTTAACTGCCTCTCGAGAAGATGGGCGGAAGGCATGTAGGTTTTTGTGCATGGTGGTGGTGGTGCTGGTGGTGATGGAAAGGGAATAATTGAACAATCGGTTGACAGTCCGCTTTCTTGCCCCTGCTTTCACTCGAAACTTCGACAAGCTGATGAGACGTCCGGACTAAGCGCCATGGGTTGCCGTCTCTACCTACTAGTCGAACGGCCGTATGGCCGAATAAGATTTGTTCTTTCACGTTCGCATATGTAAATTAGATTTTATGATCTGGTTTCTCCTGTGTAACCGCATTGAAAATGATCAATGATGAAGAGGTCCGTTTTTTGCAACTCCTGTCGACACAATTTTAACCAGACATATGGGTGGCTCCTTTCTAAGTTGTCCTTGCATCTGTCCACATATTTAGGGAGGCATATTTCTCACCCGCTATATACTCCTTCTGCATGCGCGCTGGATGGAATTTTCGTCTTGCTTCGTCTTAGGTGTCTAACCCTTTGCAGCCGGTGCTCCTGGAGACGAGTTGGATTTTGGATTTCCCTTTTGTTATGGAAAACATGCATAATAGTACTCGTTTTTGTTAGCATTTGGTAGTAAATTGCGTCTTTTTAAAGCGTTGTGCTTGCGAAAAAAAGGAATTTTAAGTTTAAAAAAGTTAGGAATTATGAGGCCTGCCAAGATTGCGAGGTGGCCACTCACATAGCATTGTACCTGTTTTATTATTAGTTTTACCGAGGAACTACACAATATTTTCCATATCCATTGCAAAATTGTCCGAGATTTAGATAGCATTTTCTAAATAACCTAGAGAAATGTGTGATTTTCTTACAAAAAATGTGTGCAGCATGCAGTTTGGAAACCCTTTGCGCGAATGTGACTCCAGGGTAGATTGCTAATTATTGGGAATTAAAAAAATTTCTTAAGACCGGAAGATACCTCTTCTGTAGGCCAAAAATATAAAAACATATTTTTTTAACAAGCGACTATAGTAAAACTAATTTTGTGCATGTTTTTCACAAGATACTTTTAAAAAATTCACATTACTTAAGTAGCCACTTTTATCGAGAGTAGTTCTGCAGATGGCTGTCCTGAAGATCATATGGAAGCCGACATTCAGTCTTGAATGAAATATTTTGGGACGATAGTCAATATTACAGCCCCGTCTAAGTACTTATTTCTAGTCAAAAGCATGTTTCAGAATTTCGATTTGTACATGTCACAGTTTGTCAAAATTAGGAGAATCAGAAGACAAATGGTTCTTTTATCCATCCCGCAGCGTATTCAAGTCTTCCTCAGCTCCCTGCTCCAAAGATCTGGAACTTGGCTATTTGAATAGAATTTTTTGATCCATGGCACTAATGACAACATTCTGAAATATTATCAGAAAGAGAATAATATACGAAACAACATGCGGTGGGTTGATGTTTCCAATAACACCGTGCTGCAGCAAACGAAGTCCTAAAATCCGCCAAACAAATCACATTTTATCTCGCTTGCATCAGTTGTGCCAAAGGTGTATCATCCACTCCGCCTTGAATCAAATGACACACCGCACTTGCGACAATCGGTCTAGACATATTCGAACCGACAGTACACCATAGGCGATTCACACATCCAGAAACAACGGCCTGCGATCTGATTATGCAGTCACATTCATCTTCGAACTATCGTAACCGCGCCAGAGAGAGAGTGGCACCGATCGATATTAGCCCTTTCTGATCCTTCAACTGCAGACAAGTTAATTAAATGTCGACAACACTATCGTCTTTACAAACTTTCATGTGGTGCCTAAAGATAGTTGACACTGCCTTGGGTCATTTACTCGTTTTGACACATTTGTTTCCCAAAAAATAACACGGCAACATTCGTATTTAGGTGTTTCTTATGCCGGTTGAAGCGAACTGATTAAAGTAAGGCCATCCTTAATATAATTCTTGTCACTTGTGCTTTTCGCACAAAACGCGGACGCGAGAGCTCGAGTTCCAACCACAGAAGACGGGTCGGGCAGCGAAACAGTTGTTTATTGCCGAAAAGTAGCAGCAATCGCTGGAACGAGAGTTTTATTCGCCTGACGTTTTGAATTCACGCTTCAACCCCCATCATTAGGGACATTTAAAATTAAGTAACGAAGAAGACTGGTCGAACACCGAAACAGTTTGTTAATTCCCATAGCAGTAATCAGAAGACGAGGTGGAGGGCGTACCTAGCTTCCAATAAATTATCGTCGGAACCGTACATGTCAGTAATAAGATAAATCGATTAAAGTTCGCCTTAAAACACAGGCGGGAATATGGGAATGTGGGGGAGGGATGGGGATGGGGGGGGGTAATAGTAGTCAGTGTCAGGGGCGAGATGAGTGGGGGAAGGGTGCAGAGAGTTGCAGCGTTAGTCGACCTTCGACCACCGTAGGCGCGGAGCCTGAACGTGGTTTTTCTGTGCGCATAAGGTGGGCCTTCCTAACCTGATGGCGGCCGCCTCTGTTGTTCCTAACAGGCACTGGCCCAGTAGTTTAGGATACCTTGTTGGGACCCTATAGATCACAAGAAACGCTTCTTTTGAGTCTACATGATGTCCATAATAAAACTGAATCGGAGCATATTGAGGAAGTCTGGGATTTGGACGTTCAATTTCATGAAGATGGTCGTCTAGGTCACATTTCAGAACTCAACCATATAGAAAACCAGAAGATAAGGTGGCGAGAATAAGGGAACGGGGTAGAACTAAAAATATTTTAGCGATATAAGAAATCGGTGAAAACGTTCACCTTAAAACGAGGAGCATAAACAGCGCCATTCTCGCGCATGTTGTCGATTCCGGACATCGTGTGGCCCCCAAGGAAGCCTTTCGTATGATATATAAGGTCCCGTCGAGCTATCCTAAGCTTCTGTGCCAGCGCCTGTTAGCAACAGCAGAAGCGTTCGCCATCAGATTACGAAAGCCCATCTTATGCGCACAGAAAAACCACATTCGGGCTCCGGGCATGCAGTGGTCGAAGATGGACTAACGCTGCATTTGTTCGCGCCCTTCCGTTCACCCCGTCCCTGACGCTGATTACTATTACCCCCCCCCACCCCCATCAATCCCCCACATTCCCACATCCCCGCCTGTGTCCTTAGACGAACTTTAATCGATTTGTCTTATTACTGACATGTTTTACTTCATCTCCGTTCCCGTATAACTGTACGGGCCCGAAGACAATTAATCGAAAGCTACGCATGCTTGCCACCTCGTCTTCTGAGTTTGTTTATTGTTTCGAGCCTTCGAACTTGCACAGAAGTCTCTCGTCGGAGATAATGATAACAAAAAATAAGCGACAGTTACAGGGGGGCTATTTTTTTATTTCTGACGACGTCCCAGATCTCAAGCCAATAATCGCGACCATTTTCCATAAATTTTGAGGTATCTTAAAAGGAAATCAAAACATGGTCTGTTAGTAATCGGTGGATCTGTAATGGTGCTGTATGTTGTTTGATAACTCAGAAAAAAATTATTGTAGGACCTGTACGATATTCGGGTAGCTAAATTATCGATTCGTTGCACTTTTAAAGTTAAACAGTCGGCATCGGCGACATCAGCTGCTGCCCATCTGCCGCACTTGTCCAAAACCAAAACAACTTTGGTCCGTTGGCTGTCAATGCTTAACAGCCCGCATGCGCGTGCCAGTCAGGAGCTGGTTCTTTCTCAATAAGTTTCGATGGTCAAGAAGATTAAAGTTCCCAAATATAAGCAAACAAGCGAGTTCCAGGAAGCAGTTTAGAAGACGAAGATGCAACCATTGGAACAAGGAATTTATTTGTCTGACGTTTCGGATTCTCACTCGAACCCATCGTCAGAAACAATCGCAGATATGGGTAATGGTGGCACAGGAAGTGCAGTATTTATAGCACGTAGCTGCCGTGGGACCTTATGCTCAGTGTAATTAACAGCTCTCACAATCGCCGCTGGGGTCGTAATTGATGCGATGATGGCATGTCAGTCCGCGTCCGAGTCATTAATGGCCGCGATTTCATCATCCGTTTTGGATGCAGGCGTGAAAATTGCTCGGCAAATTGGCTCACTGTCACTGAGATTATTGCTCGCCCGCCTTCCCCCCCCCCACGTGGCCGATCCTTCACCCAGGGAAAATCTCAGCAATGAATGCCGTAACGGGAGGTCATCGAGCTTGTCGATGGACTGCGGGCCTGAGAGCCATGACTTGAGCAGCTTTCGGCTCACGATGGTGGCACCCTTCGCGAGGATTTCGGCCTCTAATCGTTAGTCATGGAAGCCAGGTTAGTTTGAGAAAGCTATACAAAGGCTGTAGCTTTTTAATCTCATCTAAACGTAGTCGCTAACTTGAAGAAAGTTAATGCGTTTGAGACTGATAGGCTCAGACTGAATCTTGATGTGAAAATGTGGGCTCAGGTCCACCAGCCACTGCGGAATAACCGCGCAATAGCCATAAACTACTAACATGCAGCCAGTAGTGCATGCCACATTTGACAGCAAGGATAATGACTAGTACCTATGTTGTCACGTATGGTATGTCGTGCTAACTCAACATGTACTGAGGCTAGTGAGCGTATAGTCAGATCAGCAAGTAGTTGCACCAAGTTGTCGTTTCAACCAAGTGTGTCAGGCGTTGAGGCTTTAAGGCCCCAGCGCGACGCCAGTGTACTGTTGGGGATCTAAATGATGAAAGGCGTCGAGATCCACAAATGATTGTCAATTATCCGCAAACTGGCACCACTGTTTGGACCCGTTATCCGTCTTAATGGCGAACGACTTTAAAAGAATTAAAAACATAAAAGAAATATTAAAGGCAATGTCGCGTTGTTTAGGAATGCCAGTTTTTTTAGAAAAGCTCAATATCCCGAAAACTTCAGAAATAGTTTTCATTAAGTAAAATTCACTTTAGATGTGCAGAATGTCTGTCTATGCAATTAATTGCGGAAATATGAAAGCACAGATATAGTAACCGCTATAAATAGCCATATAGTGAAGGTTGCATTTAAATTTCCTTAAGAAATTAGTGGAATTTCAGGTATGGCGGTTTGCCAACAGCCTACATTACGAGTAAAAATTACAAAACGGTTTACCGAGGATTCGTCGAATTCTCTACGCTTTTGAATTGACTGAGATGCAGTTCAGTAAGGTAAAAAGGCTTTTGCTCGCCGCTAGGACGTTACAGAAACGAAAGTCTTAATAAAGTATCATGCTGTCAGGCCGATAGGCGAATAATAACTTAAAATAGAATTGACAGATGTAATCGTAAACATACCAGTTTTTACAAAGAGGAGATTTCCTCCGCAAAATTGCTTTGTGCTTTTCGTTTGTTCTGGATAGCACTGACTTGCGGATCGGCCCTAAAATATCGCGATTTTCAGTGTTTTCATACGACTGCCCGTAGAGACAGTTTCTATATTAAGAGCATTTACCCAAGTAGTGACCGCTTGGGCGTTCGTTTTCATGTAAAAGGTCATGTGGGTTATATTTGAAGACGTATCCAAACAGGAAACCTCATCATCGAAAAAATTAACATCCACAACAAAGATTAGCAACAAATATCCTTCTCCAATAGGTCGCCGTGTTTAGGAGTGCTTTGATACTGCATTGCGTTGGCGGATGTCTGTGTATTTTACATTTTCATTAGGTGAAGCACAAACTCCGTTTCTTTCACTTTCTTAAACAATACTGTTATTTTTTCTACCGTAAACCTGAAAACATGCTTGTCTCTTCATATTGCTTCGATTTTCGGCATCTTTACTCACATGCGGACTGCGTTCTATCTTTATGAATGCATTTCAGAGTGGCCATATAATCGCTGAAAGTTTGCTAAATCTGTCAAGGTCTTACTCATTTTATTTTTAAGTTACGTATGCGCAAAAGCCAAACCGCACGGAAAGTAATGTTTCGTATGTTCAAAACTGAAAATGACTATTCAGTATTGGTCACTTTGATGACAAAACATAGAAATTTCGAAAATGGTAGTACGTTTTAGACTCATTTAAACGAAGGATTGCTTGTGTGCGCTCTTACCACTCTTTTGGGCTCCCAAATCGCACAGCTCTGCTAATCAGACTCCTGAAGAATAATAAAACGTCCGGTTCTCTAAAGAAAACCTCCGTTTCCAAACTGATTTTTAAGGTCAGAAGATCAATTTTCAGGTGCGGCGAGATCTGTTTGGTAAACCGCTCGAGAATCAATTACACTCCTCTCGAAGGAAACACATTCAAATGTGTAACCGAAGTCTAAGACATATATTGGTATGAAAACGTTGCCCAAATATATCACAACGTCCATTTTTGCTCAAATTTATGGAAATATTGCCTGATAAAATAACGTGGATCCAATTTCCGCTGAGGAAAAGGACATCTATTTGAAGAGGCTCGACGAACGCGCAAAATGCATAAATCCTTAGATGTCCGAAAATTCTTTTATATGTTTTGTAATCAGGTTCTGCGAGTAAGATCACGTAATGTATATGCATGTGTGCACCTCACTTCACAAGTCCCATGGCGTACTGACGATTGCTAACGGCCGTGAAACAGCCGTTTGCAACAGGCCCCTTGCACTTCCAATGACCTGTCTACATATTATATTTTGTTTGTGTCCCATGGCGCAACGTTCGTTGCCGCCAATAGCAAGCCGGAGTTAGTATTAAAGTGATTTCTAATGTTCAGAAATATCTATGGATCACGCTGTGACAAGCTTCAGCCGACTAATAGATATTTACTGCTCGCATACTTATGCAGACAATTCAAACTTTACGGAAAAATTACCCGCATTCTTAAGGCGCAAAACTTGAGAAAGACGCTAATCTCCACGACACATGTACAGTAGAGGACATTTGTACGAATCAATTCTTGGATGTAAGAAAGACGTGTACAAGTGTGAAAAGTGAAAACAGCAGTATTCACCAGTAGATCAGTGACATGTTAATTTCTGCAAATTCACATGAGATTGCATCAAGTGCCAGTCATTTCTCTAATTGGAATTAAGTAAAGTTTTCTAGGCGAGCGCATATGAGAAGGTTTCAGTCAGAGTTTGATGAGTCTTGAAGCATGATTACTACTTATTAATTAAGCACTGAGCCCTGTACCTCCAGATGCTTGAACAATATCCTGCGTTCCACGAGTTTATGCTTCTTCATTTGTATGTAAGTGTTTTCATCATCCAGTGGAGCTCTAAGTTTCCCTGCCGCCCATCTACACAGAAGACGGGGTATGTTTGGGGGCTCCGAGTCAAAGGGGAAATCCGAAGGTGGTGCTCGGCGGCAGTTTGGGGAGCCCTGTATCATGCAAAAATGATCAATACTGACTCGGGATTGAGTGAAGTGTATACAGCCTCGCTATGAACTTGACAGTTCGACCATCGGTTTCGATGATGTCCACCGTGTGCCCCACAGTTGCAGCAGCAATGGGAGCAGGGACGGTGACTTACGCAGGGGTTTATAGTGCCGGTAGACTTGCGTAGCATCTACCTACACTCTCTCCTCCNCTTGTCCGCCTTCGACACAGTCGCCAAGAGGGCGTGCAGGTCCTCGTAGAATTTGTCTCTGACGGCGTCGGGGTTGGTCATCGTCGGAGCGTAGGCGCTGATGATGGTGGCGAATTTGCCTCCCCAGAGAGGCAGGCGGAGGCTCATCAGGCGATCGTTGATGCCCTGCGGCAAACAGGGCAGTCGTCCCACGATGTCGTTCCGAATGGCGAAGGCGACGCCCGCGTCTCGTCGCTCTGCCCTGGGTCGACCGCTCCAGAAGAAGGTGTAGCCGGCACCTACCTCCTCCAGTTGGCCTTGTTCGGAGAAACGGGTCTCGCTGAGTGCGGCGATGTCCACCTTGTAGCGCGCCAGTTCTCGTGCCACTAGCGCCGTCCTCCGCTCCGGTCGGTTGCTCCTCGGATTGTCTAAAAGGGAACGAACATTCCAGGCTGCCAGAGTGAGCGCGCTCACCCTGCCAGTCTGGTGACAACGAGTGGGGCGACGGGAAGGAGATGGAGAAGATGACGAAGGAGAAGAATAGGCAGAAGAATAGACGGAGGTAGAGGAAGAAGAGGTAGGATGAGGAGAATGAGTATGGTTGTTGTTGTTGTTGTTATTGGTATTGTTGTTTTTTCGATTTTCATTGTTTCGACCATGTTTAGACGTCTGCGGCCCTGGCTAGCCTGGAGACGGCGTGGTACCCAGCAATGTTTAGGCCACCTTTTCTAGGCCCTTCCCCTCGTGGGGGCTGGCAGTGCCATCCCTGAATAGGGCTGCCATGTGCCGGTGTGGCACGGCCGAACTCCACTATGGGACCACGACTTCGGGTTGTAGTGGAGAGCGACTCGAATTCGCCGTAAGCCGCGGTTTCCGTCGGCGAAGGTGGGCGCGTCAAGGCGGTGTCGATGTGGAGATCCATCCCGTCACCGGCTGTCGAGCGACGTGCAGAGACGAACCACGTCACGACGGTGCCGACGCAAGGTTCCATCCGACCTTCCATCCAGCGGAATCCGCAAACCCTGTGCACACGGCACAGCGCACAGGGCCCCCTCACCTGGTTTAGCCCGCCGGTCGAGACGGTTGCCCGGGGTGTGGCCGCTGAGCAGAGCCCAGCTACGTGGAGCCACAGGTGAGAGTTGAGTGCCAGCAAGTGGACGCTAGGCGCAGTCTCACCTGCAAGCAAGTGAGCGACCACCACGACCATTACGTGAACCCACCCCACTTAGCCTTAATAAAGCGACATGTAATATAGCCCTTCTCTAAAATACTGATTTTCTGTAAAAAGGATTTATTTTTAAGTTAGTGGATAACTTATAAACTCAACTGCCTTCTTTTGAAGGACAGTCGTTTCTTTATTGCTGTAAAACTTTGGGGGACGTGGTATGGACGAATTTTGCGTTGCAGGATCTTTCCAGCGAAATTCACGACATTTTGTGATATGCCACGTGTGTAATTTTGTTCTCACCATAATAAGTCTGGCGCGCTTGGATCTACCAGGAAGTGCTAGAAGTCGTGGCTTAGAAGGGTGCTAACTGGCCGGATAACTCGGTTTCTGTGGTCAAGACTGCGTATGTGAGTGGAGTCACTAACAGGAGGGCTGAGAGTCAGGCTTAATGACTCGCTTATGGCGCTCCCACGCATGTGAGATAGGCCTGGTATACGCTATGGGAACAAGGTCGCGTGAAACCCTTGGGCGGGCTGTTGTGCCCCCACAACGGGCAACGCGGTAAATGCGTTAGGCCAACACGGGGAAGAGGTTAGGGCAGGTTACGCGTATCCCATGACAAGTGGTACACGTGGGGTGGAGGGGGCACGCACTGGCGCAGGCTCATTGCATCAGCCGCTCGAGTCCAATCCCAGCATATGAGGGATAGTGATTCTGGTGACTAGAGAAAAAACAAAGGACCCACCTCTTTGAGGTCCTCCACGATCTCTGGCTGCTGCCACCAGGCCGCTGTCATTAACGAGGACACGTCAGACACGGATTTCTTGTCCCCAGCATCTACAGCTGAGGTAGAGGTGCAAGTCGGAAGTTTGGAGTCCAGTGCATTACTGGAGCGCAGGGTTGGCAGGAGTTGTTGGATGCGAGCCCGCAGTCCGCGAGGGGAAGTGAGCTCAGTCCAGATATGCTCCAAAGCGTTACGGAGGGCCTCCTCATCCGCACTTATGGCAAAACCGGCACGTCGTACCACCGTCTGCTTAGACAGAAGCTTGAGAACGCGATGACTTAATTCAATCTGCTTTCGTTTGAGTTGAGAAATTTTTTTGTGAAATCGACAAGTGGTGTGTGTGCAGGTCACTGGCAACCTTCAAAAGGTGCTTAACAGATTTCCTCGCTATGAACTTACCGCCTGTAACACGACAACTCACAACGCCACTTCCGTGTTCCCTTTAATGACCGCTTATAATGTCTGCGGGAGCGGTAGCAAACAGAACCAACTTCATTAATAATTTCAAATCATCTTAAAGCGCACATTCCACAACTCTGTCCTTCCCATTGAATCGCTCAAGAGCTGAACTTTGTCCGTACGTCATTATGATTAAGTATTGTTCATACCAGTCTAAGTAAAACCCAATGATGTTAACATACGGAGGTACTAGGACTTTTTCTACGACTTTATGATATAAACTGCAATAACTAATTAACTAAGATGACCGTTCCTTTAAACGTTTTATTTTCCGGGTTAAAAAAAGGAATGTGGCAAAGGGACTATTACAGATATTCTGTTTGAGACCGATAGGCCGAATGCAGACGAGTATCCTAAATGGAAGTGAGTAGGAACCATGTACGCCTTAATTTTACGTGGGGGGGGGGGGTTGCGTTAAATCCTAGGTCGTATGGGTCGACGCCTATCTACAAGAGTACGAGAACGCTTGCCGGCATGGCTGAGGAAGGGTGATGTTAAAAGTATACACAGCTCCATCCTTGCACACACGGTTGATTCTGGGCATCGTGTGGACATCGATTGACAAGGAGCCATCTAACTACCCCAAGCGGCTGGGTCAGCACTTACTAGCAACAGCAGAAGCGACTGCCATCAGGATATGGAGGCCATTCCTGCGCGCGTAAAAGAGCCTCTTGCAAGCTCCGCGTCTACCGTGGTCAAAGCTCAAATACCTGAATGCATGTCTGCGCGTCCCGGTTCCCTGTTCTTTTCTCTTCGCCTGCTCTCCAAAATGACCCTTCTGTTTTGGTCATAAACTAGGCACTTGGACAGGCAGTTTGAACCGTCGTTTGCCCGCCAGTAAACGAAATTCCTAGTCTGATATAATTAATTCAGTGCAGGCAAAACTGCTACTAATAGGGACGCAAAAGATTATTACATTGAAGGGAAGAAGCATCTCGTTCTCAGTAAGCTAATCTTTCTCAACTCCATTTTTGGTTTTAATTATGCAACGGCGCACTTATCAACGGTCTTCCGTTTCTGTTAACAATTGAAGCTGCTTTCTCGTCTTGGCCAAAACATGAATGCGTCTGACTGCTTTAGGCAAGGTTTGTTGCGAAATTTCGCTTTCGAAATTTTTCTTCACGCTACTCGAGTCTAGGCACGAACAATGTCCGGAGCGGATAAGGGCAGATGATGTCAAGTCTACCGTCATTTTTGTAAAGAATTTTTTACTCCTAGACCATTATTTTTTTAGAGGAATGTAGCAAATAACAGGAGATATTGTCAAATCCTTACGACAAACTGAACCAAACAATGCTTAGATCTATTGACTAAATAAGGGTCACAAACCTGAGGTACTACTACGACCGATAGTATAGTTAATCGGAGCATCTAATTAAAAGATTTATAAATGATTATTTCACAAACTGTATCCGTTGACAAAGGATTGCGAAACATCAGTCAATAATTCAATAGAGTTTCTGGACGAATTACAAGGACTGAGAATCGCAGCAAATGAAATAATGGTATCCTTCTCTGTTCACCTCCATACCATTCAATTTAACAAGACAATGTACAGAGTAACGTCTCCAGTATGACGACATGGATATTCCTACACCTGCTTCGTTAGAACTCTTAAATCTTTGTTTGGAAACGAACTTTTCATTTGCACAGAAGTACTACCCCACAGTTGAAGGGAACCCCTATGGGATCACCCATCTCTGGTTTTCTTGCAAAAGTCACCATGAAGGAATTAGAGGCTATCGCCTTGCCATTATTGAACCACGAAAATGCGTACGTTATGTTGATGACACGTTTTTCATTGTTAAAAGTATTCAACTGGAAATACTTCACAGCATTATTAACTCAATACTTCCAGGAATCAGATTCGCGCTCGAGAAAGAGGCTGACAACAAACTCCCGTTTCTTGATGTTCTCGTACAGAGAAAGCCTGATAGGACATTTCAAAATTCGGTTTACCGCAAAGAAACATACGCCAAAATTCTTTTACAACGGGAGAACAATCACCTGATCTCTCACAAACGGAGTGCCGTGAATAGCCTAAATTTAGCAAGAACTCACTGCTTTGATAACGAAACCTATCAAACAGAACTGGATTACCTGTTCAAACTGTTTTCCAGAATGGGTATCTTAAATATTTTGTACACCGATTCATGAGACGATAGGAAATAAAAAAAGGAAAAAGACAACATACAAGATTGTTTCGATCAGGCGCCCAAACCGAAAATTTGGCGAACACTTCCGAAAATTAAGAATGTGTCCGAACTAGTTGAAAGACATCTTAAGAGGCACCAAATACATTTGGCACGCAGGCCGACGACTACACCTCGTAACCAGCTTGTACACCCTAAGGATAGGGTTGGCTATTTTAAGAAAAGGGGAGTCGTCTATGAGATATCATGCAACACCTCTAATACGATTTACTACGGTCAAACTGGGAAATCGGCCTCTACACGAATACACGAACATCAGTTGGCCGTAAAAAGGCGTGACCACTTGTCCCAAGCTGCCATGCATACGCTGGAAACTTGACACGAATTCGCATGGCACAGGACTCGCATCGCAGGTATCTGCTCATATAAAAAGGGTAGCGAATGCTGTGTATAACAATCTCAAGGAAGGGTGGAAAAGGCATTGGCTAATGAGAACGTTACGCCAGCAGGAGTTACAGGGTAAAATCGATTATTAGGTATGTTTAACTGTTAACTGTTTTGCACACTTACTTCACGGCCGAGGACAACTTAGGGGACCAAAGTCGAAAATTTGCGATAAATTTATTAATCAGGTTACGGAACGTGTAATTTTTATTTGGCCGTGGTTCTAAAACTGGAACCATTCTGGGCAGTCGCACAGCGACTTGTCTTATAGGTAGATAAAGTGACACCGACAAAGACGAGGAAGACCGGATTAGCAATTAGCCTTTGTTCGCGGGACGACGTTAGATAAATCAATATGAAAAACCCGATATTTTTTCCCTAACCTTCTCCCTCCATCATTACATTTTGTAATGCACACTGCCTCAGTTATTCAACATATGTATGCACATACAGTACGTGACCTATCTCATGAAATGTTGGTTGAAATTCTGAAATGCGTTTCCAATTTGGAAGGATTACTTGGTCGCGGTTGTGATACTGATTATCATAAAGCATACTCTTATAACATTTTAGACTCGGCAGGATGTCGGCTTTTAAAACGACTTCTTTTCAATCTCCTGTAGAATGTGTGCTCGGTAAAAAATGATTACATAAGTTGCACGCATTTTTGCCATTGATTTTCGATGGTCTTGGAAATTCAAATATATATTATAGAAACCACACACAAAAATATGCATTCTTTTAGTCAATCAATAGAAAATCACGTCTTATTTATAATTTATACTTACGAAAGGAGCATAATTAGGTTTTAAAAAAGTTTCAATTATGAGACTTTTTAAAACCGCGATATGCCCATTCACATAGCATCGTACTTAGCCGTTTACCACTGCTCCTGATGAAATGTACAACATGGTCCGCATCCATTACAAAATTTTATGGACCCTGTATAATATCTCTTTAATGACATGGAAAAATATGGAATTTTCTTTACGCGGAACGCATGCACCTTGTAGAGTGTAATCACTAAGCGCTAATGCGACGAATGATCAGGCTCCAAATTTTTCGGCAAATAGAAAACTTTTTTAAAACCTAATTATACTCCTTTCTTAAGTATAATATATCAAGAAGAGGTGATTCTCTATTGATTGACTAAAAGAATGCATATTTTTATTTATGGGTTCTATAAAATATCTTTGAATTTGCAAGACCATCGAAAATCAATAGGAAAAATGCATGCTAATTAAGTTGTCATTTTTTACCGAGTACACTTTCTACAGGAGATTGTAAAGAAGTGCATTGAAGACCGTCATCCTGCCGAGTCCGAAATGTTATAAGAGTATGCCGCAAGATGGTCAGTATTTCAACCGCGACCAAGTAATCCTTCCTAATCGAAAACGCATTTCAGAATTTCAGCCAACATTTCATGAGATAGGCCACGCACTGTTTATTGAAGGGTAGTTGTCGACAGAGACAGAAACACAGGAATTGCGATTTCTGGCTTATTTGCTGTCCTTACGCATGTACATAATATTTCAAAACAACATTGAAAAAAGTAGTCAATTCCATAAGTGGCTGTGCGTATAATATCTTACCCCAAGCCTATTTAAATTGACTATTTCCCGTTTCTTTCGAAAGTTTTTCGCGCCTTCTTTTTTCAACATTCAGCCCTCCAAGAAGCCATCAATCCTGGACAGCCTGCTTGATGGATGGGACTCTGTCCAAATATTTTTTGCCAGCCGATGGTTGTTTCTAGGCCAGACATCAGTGAAAGGACTTCAGCAAAACTGACAGGTAAGTTATTAGCATGTCACTAGGGGTCCTGACTTTCATAAGGGCATAGTGCTCCTCAGGCTACATTCTCGAGAATAAATATAGACTAGGGTAATAATCAAAGGAAAATTCCATCTAAGAATTCAAAAAATGCTTTCTAAAGAAAACAGAAATAGACAGGTTAACCTCGCCCTTAAAATTCCACATCTTTAAATGGATTAAGGGTGGGCATAGAAGTTTACAAAGGGCACATCAATAAAGCAAATGCAAAAATTTGATATTGAATGCAGTTGCTATCTTGAGAAATGCAATTACGTATAAAAAATTAAAGTACTACGAAGAGAACTTCTTGGCGCAAATTGATTCGTCCAGCTTAATTTCTGTTCAAGTGAGATAAAGACCGTTCACACTAATGAAGGGGAATATGCGCAGCCCAGGTTCTTGTTCAAAAGAAGACGAAGGCAGGTTCACTAGGACCGTAGATTTATTGGCCCTAACTTTCGAACTCGAAATGGAATTTATCATCAGAGATTGCTAGAGTGCACCAACCTGTGAACATTTATTGAAAAGGACAGGCAATCGGGTTTTCAAGACTTGCTCAACAGCATCTTCTCCGACATTCAGCTTACAAGAGAAGACGAGAAACTACCCTTCCAGGACGTGCTCGTCACGCGCACACCTGACGGTGAGCTCAGCATTACAGTGTACAAAAAGGCGACCAATACAACCCAAGCCCTCAACTATCATAGCAAAAACCTATTGGTGCTCAAACGGGGCTGTGCGAGAGCGCTTTTCGACCTGGTAAAAACGCATTGTAGCAAACCCGAAGGAAGGATGCAAAAATTACGGCATCTCCAGGAGCAATAAACAGAGAACGGCTACCCAAATAGTTTCGTCAGCCGCTGCATACGCACGCACCCACGACGGACAAACGGAAGACAGACACCAACAATTTGGCAGTCCCTACCGTACATAAAGAATGTGTCCGAGGCTACAGAACGCACTGCGTCAGAGTTAGGCGTGGGCATCGCTCATCACCCGGCCGCCACCATGCGAAGCAGAATCATGAAAATGAAGCATCGGCTGGACGCAGGCGAGCAGTCGGGCGTAGTCTATCAACTTCCGTGCCATAACTGATCTTGCCACTACACAGGCTAAACAGAACGACGTCTCAGCTGACAAATACTTCAGCACAAACAGGCCGTTCGGAGAGGCGACTCACTATCTCAAGTCGTCACTCACACGCTGGGGGAAGGCCAGGAGTCCGACTTCGCCAACACGCGGATATTGGCGCGAGCCAGCTGAAAGACGGAGCGAGAACTGTTAGAGGCGTGGGTGTGGGAAACCAACTCTATCAATAGACGCACTGATTTGCCTGCGTGTTATCACGCTTCCGCCCACGCCACCAGGTGACGCAGCTCACGTCGCCGCGAAGAACAAACGCCGTAACCACGCCGAGGGACCATTGTGGGCCATGCAGCACAAACCAGACCTAGCCACGGGCGTAGTCCCCCCCCCCAACGGCACAACGATATAAATGTTCCCACGTTGCTGCACCCTAGCAGTCTCTGATGATGAACTCATGTTCGAGTTCGAAAGCTAAGGCCAATAAATTTACCGTCCCAGTGATCGTGCCTTCGTCTTCTTTTAAACAGTTCGCACTGTCGCACTGCAAAGTCAATAAACTCCCGACTCGGGCATACTGCTGGAAAATATTAGGCGACAAACAAATCGAAGACTACACTAGGAAACCCATGCTCACTGCCAATCAATGGCATTTTCACCATAATATAGGTGGTACGTTGAAATCTCACGCGATGAGCTGGGAGTTGTGGTTCGGATGGGCGACAGCAGACGGATCCTTCCTAGCGCTGCACTTGCGGCATTCCAAGTTGGGTAAAGTCCGAGCCATCCGTGTGCCAAATTGGTACATTCTGCGGGAATCAGGTCGTGCGTGGCATGGGGACAGGGCTTGTTAGGCTTTGTCAGCCAGAACTCACTCCTGGTCGGCTTAGATCAGTCTTGTCATCGGAGTAAGTTTGGTGAGGAAGGAGAGGGTATACGCTGCGTTTACCCTGAGTAGCTCTCAGCTGCCTTCGACGGTCTAACTACCAAAAATTTAAGAAAAACGATTGTCGTTATTACCTTCGCTTAGATAGATGCGCTGAAAATGGCTATTGAAAGTTGTGTAGAAGACAGTAAGCAGAATGCAAGGAATATGATTAAGTGGAAAATCTATTCCACGCCGACGATGAGAAAACTAGGGCACATCTCATCAAAGTGGACTTAATTTTATGAGCCCAGAAGTGATTAATGGATTTTTCACAATCTGCACGAGATCGTAAATCTTGCAACACTCAAAGAATTGCCCAGTCCGAAACTACAGCGAACGAGGTCTTGGTTACCCAGTTGTTGCATGCTTCTTCTGACGACTCTGAGACAACTAAGAAGCCCATTCAGACCTACGATATGCGAGTTATTTTGGCGTATACTTACAACATATGTGGTCAAATTCAAACGCCAGACATGGACCAATAAAAAGAGACGAGGCAGATACAGTAGATGGGCTAACTCATGAAATGTCAACTTACATTCCGAAATGTATTTTCGTTTTAGAAAGATTCATCAAGTATGATTGTAAAACTAATTAACCTGCAGTTTAATTCTATAATAATTCAGTTACCTCAGGATACCGGCCTTCGAACGAACTTTCTCCCGGCTGCATACGAAACTATAATTCGTTAAACATGACTACTAATTTGGCATGGACTTGTCTCGTTGATTTTCGATGCCCCTAAAAGTCCTACTATATTTCATTGAAGACATGCATAAAAATATTCATTTATTTACTCATTCGGTTGTAACTTACGTCTCCTTCCAATCTAATACACGAAGTAGGGACATAATTCGTTTTTAAAGAAGTTTCTAATTGTGAGACTTTTTAATACAGTGAAATAGCCGTTCATAAATCGTCATGTCTCTGCATTTACCAATGTGGTTTGTAAAGTTGACAATATGGATCAAGGTCAATTCTAAATTTTATGAACCCTATGCGGTCTCCTCTTAATACTGTAGAGCGATATTTGGTTTTCCGTACACCAAAAATATACTACTTGCAGTTTGGAAATCCTTAATACAACAATGACGGCAGAGCTAATTCAAAATTAGTCGGGAATTTTAAAAGTTTTCGAAAACCGAACAATAACTTTCTTTGAGTATACAATTAAAAGACGTAATTGTCTAGCGAATGAGCAGTGGAACGATTATTTTTATGCTTGTTGTTCATGAAATATAATAGGACTTTTAGGGACATCAAAAATCAACCAGACGAATTCATGCTAAATAAGTAGAAAGTTTTTTCTGACTGTAGTTTGTGTATGTAGCCGGATGGAATTTCATTCGAAAGCCGGCATCATGAGGTAACTGAAATATTATAGAATTATGTTGCAGGCTGACCAGTTTTACAACCATACTTAATTGATATTTTCGAGCTGGAAACACATTTCGGAATTTCGCTTGACATTTCATGCGTTATGTGCAATGAGTAAGCCCACCTGCTGTACGTTCGTCTTAGTGTTCTCTGTGTTCGTCGGTAGTGTATCGCATCCATTAGTGCGACCTCCATTGGGGGTTCCAGACATTGGAAAAGAGGTGGTACTTAAGGTTAGAAAGTGCTCTGTCAGGTTTTCTTCGAAATATTAACTCGCAGTCTTTCGACGGTGTCTTTAGAACAAAGACAGGCTGTCACCGTGAATGGTTGTAATAGGACATGAACTAAGGAATAAGAACAACTGCGTACCAGCATGACTTGCAATTGCAGACAGGGTAAGAAAAGACGGTTCTTTTGTAGGCATTGTGATGGAAAATAGACACCAGGTTGGTGTCGCCGAAACCTACCAGCTAATCGAGATAAGACGTCGGAAGACCCTCAGACTACGAATTTCTGCAAAAGTGAAGGCGGGTGAGGGACAGTCAAGCTAGGATTGCAGGTCCTGTGAGCAGAATAGATGTCTACGCAGACTTTTCAGCCCTGGTGCTTGCCATCCGCATGCCAATCACACCAAGTTTACCCCTTGGTATGTTCTTCCTCGCACACCACGAATTTCAACATCCCCACCGATTGACTGCTCTTTGCCTAAAAGATAGCTTTTGTTGTAATGTAACAATGCGCTAGCAGGCAAATAATAGCAGTTTTGACAACCTACAGTGAGTGACCGAACTCATGAAATGTTGGCTGAAATTCTGGAATGCTTTTTCGATTGGGAAGGTATACTTGGTCGCGGTTGTAAAACTGACTATCTTGCGGCATACTTTTATCTTATTTCGGACTTGGAAGAATGTCGGCTTTTAAATGCACTTCTTTAAAATCTCCTGTAGAAAGCGTACTCGGTGAAAAATGCCTACTTAAGTAGCATGCATTTTTCCCAATGATTTTCGATGGTCTTGCAAATTCAAATATATTTTATAGAAATCACAAAAAAATATGCTTCCTTTTATCCCATCAATATAGAATCACGTCTCCGCGTAAAGAAAATCCCATATTTTTCTATGTCATTAAAGTGATATCATACAAAGTCCATAAACTTTTGCAATGAATGCGGACCATGTTGTATATTTCATGAGGAGCAGTGGTAAACGGCCAGGTACGATGCTATGTGAATGGACATATCGCTGTCATACAAAGTCTCAGAATTAGAAACTTTTTTTAAAATCTAATTATACTCCTTCCTTAAGTATAAAATATAAAGAAGACGTGATTCTCTATTGATTGACAAAAAGGAAGCATATTTTTTTGTGATTTCTATAAAACATATTTGATTTTCAAAGACCATCGAAAATCAGTGGGAAAAAAGCATGCTACTTAAGTGGTCATTTTTTACCGAGTACGCTTTCTACAGGAGATTGAAAAGAAAAGCATTCAAAAGCCGACATCCTGCCAAGTCCGAAATGGGATAAGAGTATGCCGCAAGATAGTCAGTATTACAACCGCGACCAAGTAATCCTTTCCAATCGAAAACGCATTTCAGAATTTCAGCCAACATTTCATGAGATAGGTCACTCACTGTAGGTCTTTCCGCCGCCTTTTTTGTGTGATATTTTCGATCCCATCCGGGGATCGAAGGAATAATTACTAAGGTTGTTTAGCTAAGGTACACATCACTTCACGTTAGAATATCGTAAAGTTCCCAAATGAAGGTCTTGTCTATGTCAAAGGCTCTCATTTTTGCGGCATTTGAAGCGAAGCAAACAGATTATCATCCAAAACAATAATCGGAGTTTTGATAAAGTAGCTGCTATGAGCACTGAAAAATAATCGTTGGATTAATTCAGAAACAGCAGCCGCACAACTCTGATAATGTCAACAAGAAAGCTCTTAGCATAATTTGGTTCAAGTACTTGCCGTACCTCCTCCTCCTTCTTCCTCCTCGTCTTTCTAGACAGATAATGAAGTTTCCTAAGGAATTTCCTTTTTTTAATAAAATTTCTTGCCCCTTTTTGACTCATGTTTATATACATACATAAACAACCACAGTATTTCTTTCAGCAATCATATTAAGCGATAGGCTCGTTCCGTCGGGTCTTAGAGATCAATTTAGACGCCTAATAAGCAGTCGCATAACGACTAAAATATGGGACGAGCACGTCCCGCGGCCTGATCGGTGAGCACCACTTCCGTCATAACCGACAATACAACAAGCCTGCGATTCGTTGACTGACCGAAGCAGACAAGCCTTGCCTGGGTGATAAGGGGTCACAAACAGGCAACCACCTGAAAATGCGTTTACCGATAGAATATGAGACACGCTCATCTCGCTACCTCACCTCGCATAAACAAATGCGGAAAATTGGCCAAAGAATATAAGACCGGAATGGCCTTTTTCGGCTTACTGGACGACACTTTTCAAAGTTATCTGGCTCCCGGTTTGCAGGAGCTTGGACTCAGAGCCACGGCCTTGGTTTCCGAGCGTTGTTCATTCCAACACTCTGCAGTCCTTCTTCATACTGCATATGATTACCTGAGATGGCCGTGGACGAGTATTTCCCGGATGTGTGTGCGTGGATATCAACTAAAAATTGGCTCCATTACTATTTTACTCATATATAGACCAAATTCTTTGGAAGTGAAACGACTTTGCCGGCTCGTGCGACCAATATGTCCTCCCCCACAAACGCTGCCACAAGGAATACAAAAAAACCTTCCAGCGTGTTATGAATAGAGGACAATGACTGACCCAGGCATACAACTGTCAACCCAACCACTCATTCAGGACAGAGACTGGCATAAGAACAGGAAAATGAAAGAACAGTCAGACGGGTCGCAAAGTTGGACGTTACAGTCGCATCTCTTTTGATATTTTAAGGAAGTCGGCAAATCGAAAAGCCACGGTCTGTGGAGCATATGAGGTCCAGAGTCCCCTCATTCGTCTTGTATGAAAATTTAAGGTCATGTGATAGGGCACTTCGGGGACAGTTAACGAGTACACTCTAGGATCATGTAGTAGCCTTACTCCAATCGCTGGTAGCTGCGGCCGCGTGTCCTCATTGCACCTTAACACCTTATTAACTTCCGACTCCAGCAATAAGCGTCACTCCATTTCACCATAAGCCAGGGGTTTCCAAGTTTCCTTATGTCCCGCACTTCTTAAATTCTAATGTGTCCACCAACCCCCTTAAATAGAATCTAAAAGGGAAACAAAACCAAAAGAAATGTAATCATATTTAAATAGTTGAGTCAATATGAATCATTCAAAATCTGCCAAAACATCTATGAATTACGTGAGCCTGGTAGTCATCTGGAGGATTCTAGTTAAATTACTTAGGAAATCCTGCTTAGGCAGTCACTTTACTGTATCAGATTTGGTGAATTCCAGACGTTGCAGTATGTTGGATGTTTAACTTGACGCAAATTTGATTAAATCCGCGTCGTCCGAC